GGGCGAGGGCTTTCGTTGTCACAGTTCAGTGCCCCACTTGTCCCGGCGCGCCCCTCCCCGGCCTCTCGGCCTTGCAGCCTGGCAGCCGTGCGGGTCCGGGGGGCCGAGCCGGCCTGAGGGACCTCCGAGTTCAACGGAGCCGTTGTTGCTTTTCCTTCCAGATTTCCTCTGTGTAACTCAAAGCAAGAGTAATCCCCGTCACCTCTTCTTTCACCGTTTCTAAGAGAACTGAGAAGATGGTGAATGTTCTGAAAGGTGTTCTGATTGAATGGTTAGTAGCAGCACTTACTGTCTCTCGTGTGTCAAAAGTTTGCATATTTATTTAGAGGTGGACATATTTCTAAGTAACTTAGGAGCCTAGTCAGAAAAAAAAAGTAATTGTTGCGAGGAGGGGTAATGCTGAAGAAGCAGGCAGAAGAAAACTGTGACCACTGGGGGAAGGAGAAGCAGTTGTAGGTAATTATAAATCCAGACTCCTTTTTTTTTTTTTTTTCCAAGATACTCTTTCCTACTTAAGTTTAACCATTAGATGTTTGCTCTTGTTCTTTATTTTGCTTTCAAATAACTGGGTTTTTATTGTTTGCAAGTGGTGTGTTGCTTTACTGATTCAACAAGAAGATGAGATCGTATTTCATCCTTTCTTTGTCTTGTTTATCAACTTCAGACAGATTCCATTTGAGGGTGACATGTTTGTAGATCATTGTACTCAAAAGCAATATGCTTGTAGTTTGTAAATGTAACATTTTGGTGTATGTGCAGTAAACATGTTTTCATGCAACCTGAAGTCTAGACTAAGAATGAGATAAATGCTTGCCTCCAAAGTAAAAAGAAGCATCAGTCAAAGTTTGTGGGGTCCTTGCATACAATTATATGGTATATAAGGTTTTTGCTGTGCACTTAGACTGTAAATATATTAACAGATTATAAACTGCACAAAAGCCAAAGAATGTTGAACCTCTTGTGATGTGCCTGCATCATGCATACAGCTGTGAGCTTGCCACAGCCAGCTGCTGAGCTGACTGGACCTTAGCCAGCTCAAGTCTGGCTGTCTAAGATAAGCTCTTTGATCCACTGAATTTTTGAAGAATTCTGGCAATATTATTCTGTTACTCATTTTTTGTAAAACAGATAAAACATGCTCTTTGCTAAAACTTAAACTTTGAAACCACTTTATCTGTCTGCTTAGTATATTGCAGCTGTTTCAGTTACCTGTAATTGTCATAGTTTCAACAGGTGTTCTTGTAAACACTTAAATTTAACTTGGAAGGTGTCATCAGGAAAAATAAGAAACTGGTCAGTTACACTGTGATAAATATACATTTTATATGTGACCACTGTTTTTCTGTGCTACACTACTTTGTGTGAGAACTGTTTTCTCATGCATTTTGATTACTTTTAAACACAAATGTGCTGTAAGAAAAAAATGTTTTTATGGTGCTGTTTCTGAAGATAGAAATGGAAGTTCAAGCTTGCCTCATTAAGGTTTGATTGGTTGGGTTTTTTTGTTGTTTTTTTTTAAGCTACTCTATAACAGCAGGATAGGGGCACTTCTCTGCCAATCAAGCAGCCAGTTCTTCTCTTTAGATTTGTTGTCAGTTTCTTTTTATCTCCAAAGTAACCCAAGCACTTACTATTGTGAAAGAAGCAATTTTTTTCAAAAGCTTCATAAACTTTCTTTAAATTGCGAGCAATTCTGGACATTAATCCCTCAATGAACTTTGGGAGTGTCTTCAAAGAGTGGGATTTTTTGTTTGTTTTTAACTGTATCTTATTACAGTGTTTTGGGATCTGATGTGTGTTTGTCTTTACAGTGACCCAGCAATGAAGCAGTTTCTGCTCTACCTGGATGAGTCAAATGCATTGGGAAAGAAGTTCATCATACAAGACCTGGATGAAACTCATGTCTTTGTATTAGCTGAGTTGGTTAACTTCCTCCAGGAGAGAGTGGGCGAGTTAATGGACCAGAACTCTTTTCCTATTAATCAGAAGTAAAAAAAAACCTAGGGAAGTGAGGTTACTGCAAATTTTGGAATAATGAGTTTCAATAGCTTGGTTCACTACTGTTAATAAATTCTAAGTGGAAGTGGCTACTCTAGAAATGGATCATTTTCATAGGCGAAATACTTTTGAATTGGATTTTATTTCTCATTCGTTAAAATCCTTGAAATGATACACTTGAGGAGTTGCCTAGAGAATTTATGTGCGCTCCCTGGTTTTCCTTTAGAATTTTTAACTTGCCAGATTGTATGACTCAAAGATGAGAGTAGTGTTTCTGTATTAGAATGCTCTATTAAAGCCTCTGACATATTACATTGTCCTGGTTTAATGGGTTTTATACACCAAAACAAAAGTCGGTATGAGTTTTCTCTTGGATTTGGTGGAGTGTTTTGGTTTGCTGTTTTTTTGTTTACTTTTTCTAAACATTTTACAAATGCCCCATACTACTCACCTGCTTTTACCAAGACTGTGCTTGCTGTGTTGTTCTGGGTTTGGGGAATGGTGAATAATAGAGAGATGGGGACAACAAAATCCATTACCCCAGATCATCATATTTTAACTGTAAATTGATTACTTGCATATTGACAATAGCAAATTAAAGGGGTGAATTGTTGCTCTACCTATGAAGAAAAAAGCTGGTTTAATTGTTTTGCCCTTCAGGTTAGCTCTTCCTCCCCTCTTGCACTTTGCTCCAAAGAGCCTTATAGTTTCATAGGTTTTTATACACGGAGTAAAAATTCTGATTTGCATTTGGAGCTCATTACCTTAGACCCTGGCTTATTTAGTAAGCCAGCTAGTGCATAATCATAAAACCTGTGAAGATTTCTGTCTAGAAATGTAGTAGATACAGATGACAGAAACAAAAAGAATAATGTGTATTACCTTTTCTCTTACCCTACTTCCTACTCAAAATAGTCAAATTTCTTTGACTTATGAGTAATAATTTATGATTGAAAGGCTTCCTAGAATATTATTTCAAAGGAAGCTTGGTTTTCAGACTTGCTGTTCTTCATTAGATAGATGCCATCTTTTTATGTTTGCAGGAAAAACAATTGTAAATAGAAAGGCTTTTATAAGGAACAGTTTTCTTTGTTGCGTCTTCCACTTGATTTTTTTGCTTGTCCAGTAGATACTAGGTTAGTTGAGGTTATGTTTTGTTTCTTTTCTAGGAATAGGGAAACTTCCAGACAAAGGTTCACTGGATGTTTTTAGACAAAAAGCTATCCAAAGAGTGTTGTGCAGAATTACATACTGTGTGGATGAGCAATAGCACTGTGGAATTTACCTTCAGGTAGTTTCTGCCCCAATCCATCCCTTTCCCTCTGGCTGTACACAACTATGGAGTTTGGTCCAAGCTGTTTCATCTTTCTTTTACGAGGGGATGCTTCCATTGTTACATAGATCAAGAACCAACTACACATCTTCACTTGAAATAAAAAGTTGAAATTTTAATGGATGGTTTATGATTCCTTGCCTCTTTCTAGAGATGAGTTAAACATTGACCTCATGCCTGTAATTTTGCAGAAGATTATTGGAGCTCTTTTGCTGAAGTAGATAATCAGTAGTCTTGGCATGGCATGATAGCCTTATACAGTTTATTTAAAAGTGTCTAATAGCCCTACTTTCAATCCTAGGGTTTTTTCCATCCAGATTTTGATGAAAGGTAAGTGATCCCTCACTCAAATGACAACATTTTAATAAAAGTCATGTTAGAATACATCTGTTACACTTCTCTGTATTTAGCATGTCTAGTTCTACATTTCTGTTGAGAGTTTCCTTTTGACTCTAGGATAAACTTCTTTTTTCTCAATTGTACAGCTTTATTGTTGCATTGCCTGTGTTTTAGCTTATATTTCCAGTTATAAATGGCTTATGTAATACAGAGGGACAGAAGTTCTGAACTGTATAAACAGTTAGGCATGCATTCTTATACTCTTTGGTCTTAATCTTTTTCAAGCACACATGTTTATGGGTTTTAACTTCTAAACCTGTCAAGGCTTAGAACCTTCCTGCAACCTAACCAGGCCTAATAGATTTTGTGCTGAAAGAATAAAAAAGATACAAAAAATCAAATTACTATCTTCTTATGGGGTCTACAGAGCTGAGTTATTTGTAGTTTCTGTGGGAAAAAATGGTCTTTACTCATGTAGTATAGTGAAGAAAATCCAGTGAAGAAGCTCTTAGAATTTCGGTATGTATATGTATGAAAAAAAACAAACTACCACCACCTGAGGGTGTCTGGGGTTCAATAAGCTTGGACCCCAGGAAACTTAAAAAGAAAAAAAAAAAGCTTATACTCCTGTAATTTGTGTGCTTTAAAAAAATAAACATGCCAGATGGAAGAAAAGTGGTTTAGATTACTAGATTTAAAAATGTAATTTTGAGGTAGTTAGTATTTACACTTGGAGTTTTTAAACGTTTTTGCTTGCTTTGATTTAGGTGTGAGGAATTACTGGTGAGTTGAGCTCAGGGAATTTAATATTGTATTAAGAATCTCTTTAAATTTTTTTTAAAGGCTGGAAGTATTTGAGAATAAAAAGTTAAGGAGAGCTGTTTAAATAAATACATGTTTTCCTAATAGAGTTGATATGGTGAGAACATCAGCTCTTGCTGTATTCAGAATATTATGTGTTAATTAAACATTTCTATTCACAGGTTATTCACTTTTTATTTTTGCCTGGTGTGTAGCATAGGGACTGTTCTCTGCTCAGGTCCTACTTGAGCAGCAAAAGCAGAGCTTGAATGGCAGATGACTTGTTGAAGTCGCAAATACTATCTTAATGGGCTTTCACTGCCAAGAGTTGAGCTGCTGCTTTACTTTCTGTTTTCAGTTCAAGTTGAAGAATCTTCTCTACTGGAGGAAGAGCAAGGCAGAATAATTACCTAAAGGATGCTTATTTGAATTTATTTTTTATTTGCCACTGATTTATACTTAGTAGCTCTAAAAAAGCTTGCAAGTTCACTCATTTGCATTTTGTGATGTGAACAGTTGCTCTTGGGTAGTTACTGTAAGTTTCAGTAGCCTTGTAAATGTCACTTTTCATTACCACAACTGCAGAGACTGGAGTGATACCTGACAGAAAGACAAGAGATCTCTAAAGGGAGGTAAGAGGATTCGAACAATGCAAACAAAGCGTTTGTTAAATGGGAAGAGAGGGGTAAAAGCTGAAAATGTAGCTTCCTATTAAAATAAACCAAGAGTACCTCATGACTTTTATTGAAAATGATCCTGTTCAATGTTTTGGGTTTTTGCTCAAGCCTCAGGTTATTTCTTTAAGTTTGTTTTTTTTAATGATCTTCAAATAAAAGCTGTTGTAATATAACTTCAACAGCAAGTAAGTGTAAATGCAGTTGCGTATTTAGATACTTTTAAAACTTATGGGATAAACTAACTCAGGAAGGTGGGTTTTATAACATGGGGGTTGGCAGCACAATGAAGATGACCCTAAGTTAGTCGATATAGGGATTATAACGAATTTCTTAGTTTATTACCAACATGCAAGTCCCCTTTTCTTATTTGTGGTACAACATTGATCCCAGGGAGAAGAATTGTCCAGTATGGTAAAGGAAGAAATAACCAGTGATCAGCAGAGAGACTGGATGTGGCCTCAAGAAGGAAAAGTGTGTTGAACAAGAATAGAGAAATGCTTCAGGTTATTGTACCATTTAACCTGAGAAAACCCAGACTGACTGGATTGGGCTTTGTAGCTAAACTACTAGCATTGTTTCATAAAAAGGTAGACATCTGAATCCATTCAGAATAAAGAATGATGGGAGGGGTATTAGTTTGGGTTTTTTTTAGAAATGTAGTGTGCTTATAATGATAAGGGTGTTTTTGTTCTTTGTAGCACAGTGCAGAGAGCTAGTGTGGTGTGCCATACAAAAACTGCTCCAAGTGGTGTCCTGCATTAAGAAATCCTATTTTACAGTATTTTCAGAATTGTAGAGTGTATTCAAAAGCATATCTTCTGATTGATTTTTTTTAAGTCACATATCAGATTTTACTGGTTTTTCTCTCTCAAGTTAACTCTGCAGGGCTGCATCCAGTGTGTGAGAACAAACTGGAGAACGTGTATTTCATGCATTAACAGGATTGTTCACTGTGAATTGAAGAGAATGGTATTTCATGGTGTCACTCAAATGGCTTATTTTAACTTTTATGGTGATGATGCCAGCTAAGAAAAGTGTCCAGTTTCACTGAGCTTCTAGGTTGAGCTTGGAAAAGTAGTATTCTAAAAACAATTTAATAAATATGTACATAAATTAACAAGTCTTTAATCGTATCAACCAACACAGGCTGAGAGATATTTTGCTCTTCCAACCTGGCAGTAGGCCATTGAAGAAAACAGTAAGCTGTTGTAATAAATAATTTTGCAATTCTCCATCTCATAGCAAATTCCAGTCCTTTTTCCATACTGACTTGTTCATGATCTCGCAAATGATCCCCTTAAAGCTGGTGGAGGTTAGAGTGAAATGAAGCTTTGTCAGAATTGGGTGTCCATGTTAGTTTTGTAATTCAGACTTTGGCAATGCTTACATGTGCACGTGAACTATACAAAGTTAAGGATTTAATAAATTAGTGAAGTTCCTAATGATGGAAGAAAAATTCTTCCTCAGATAAGTCACCATCTTTGGTCTTGTGACTTAGTAACTAATGAGATGGAAAAGATAGGGTCTCTAGAGAAATATAACATGGAGCTTTTTTTTTTTTTTCATTATGTAAGAGAAATAATGTTGTACCCATCTTTGTTTCATATTAAAAGATTTTCAGGACTTGAAGTCCTGAACAAGTTGAGGGCAGACCAGTAAGGGGAGCTCTTACCAATATTTTAAACTGCTTTTTAGAAAGTTGCTGCAGTGTGGACAATGGTGGGTCAGAGACTTCCCCTGTTTTTGAACATTAATATCTTTCTGGATGTGCTTTTAGCTGGAGATGAACATTCTATTACAAGAGGTTCTTTTAGAAAGACATTTACATTAACCAATTTTTTAAA